ACAATCTCTCAACATGCTGCAGTACTGTGTAAAGAGAATTTGGGATTTGGACAAAGTCTTTCCACTTTGTGGAGAAATCTGTTAGTAACAGTGGACTTTTTGTAGCTTTAATTGATCTTTTCTTGGCTCTGTCTGTGGTAAAAAATGGTTATGGATTAAGCTTACATGATCTCAATATAAATATTCTCTGTTACTAGTGTCAGAAACTAATTATCAAAGAAAAGACCAGAATGAAAGGAACAGAACAGCTATTTCTTGATACATGAGATGGCAATTTTGAGTGGGTAAAAAGGATGTTTTCACCATTTATTCCACACTTCTAAAAACATGTATCTTAGTGACTTGAGAATCCATTTGGATAAAACTAATGCATTGCCATACACAGCGAAAAGATAAATGTTCTCCTCCATGTTGATGGGTTGTTACCATGTTCCAAGATTGTCTTAATTGGCCACTGCTTCCATCTAATTTTTGTCATAATTAAATAAGGCTAAAATAACGTTTTAAAAACCACATTATCTCCTGATTTTATTTGGCTTATTATAGAAGCTCTGGGCATGTGGTCCCTACAGGTACATAGAGTGTTTCTATCAGGTTTATCTTGGAGGTTTCAGGAAGAATTATATTGGATAACGTGTAACACTGGTGTAGAAAGATTTTTCTTTTGAAAGTAATTGCATTCCAAGTCCATAGGGTAGTTGTTTGAGACATTATTTATTGATGAGAAATGAAAATTAAACCAAATAGGCAAAAATTAAAGGACAGTCCTCAAGAGTTCATCTGTTTCGTTACTTCTGCATATGGCTTAACTTAGCTAAATCCTTACAAGATGCAGACAACTCTTGACTAAGATCAAGAGTAGTGGTCTGGAGCTGCCTTCTGGAATATATAAATGAGTTCAGAGGAGGCCTCTTACATAGAGAAATGATTATATGTGGATCTTAGTGGATGTGAACGTTGTTTTGTCTCAGGAATTAGAGACATTGACATTTAGTTTAGATTTATTTTTGTTTCTCTCTGATCCATTAGCCCTGTAAGTTGTAGCACAGAAACTATCACTAGGAAACCTTTTCTTGAAGAACAACGTGGAAAGAAATAAAACAACTTTTTGTATTTTTTCTTAGGCCACCCCTTAAAATACCACAACTCCCCAACCATCCGTTCCATTTTCTCCCAGTCTAGCCCAATTTAAAATCAAGAGGACAA